TTTATATTCTGTTGGCGTTTCGTCGTTAATTCTCTTGTCAGACAATTGAATCAAGATGAAAAATACACATACATACACATTCCATACACTGCCATATCGACAGACGTTAAGAAAACCGACGAAGGAAGAAAAAAGAATTACACACACACAAAAATGATGGTGACCACTGAATATTCAATGCTTGCATCGTTCATTCTCTCACTCTTCCTCTCTCTCTCTCTCTCTCTCTCTCTCTCTCTGCCGCATGCACATTATCATAATTGAAATCGAAATAACGAATGCACTGTGAGGAATTTCAAGCGACGGAGAAAAAGGGCTCTAAACAGTAAATAATATTCAATTTTCGTAATACATTGAATAAATTAAAATGGTCTTGATTGCTTGCAGCAATGGACGGTCGATTATTATTATGAACGGATATAAATTGAATGACTATATTATCAAATGATCGAATGGGCTTGATGAATGTCAAAACATTATGAGCCGACGCGAAGCTGCTGTGTCGGCCATTTCTCAATTTGCAACAGCAAAATTTATTGATTTTAACCATAAGTCATAATCAAAATGGTTTGTAATTTCCATTTACCCCAAACCGCAGTCAATTGCTCTTTCTCAGCACTGTAATTGTGTCTTGACTGTGTGCCCGGCTATATGATGGGCATTAACACTTGAGTTAATTCAATTGTCGCCGTCACATGTGAAATATTGATGATAATAAAAAAAAGAGAGCAATGCGAGACATAGACTGCTATAAGTACACTCGCTTTCAGTGTCGAGTGTCTGTGTCTGTGTCTGTGACTGCCGCACTAAAACGTTTATAAGATTAAATGTCTCCGTCGAAAATGAATTGCTCGATGGGATTGTGTGGCATTTTTGAGGGAAGAAATCTTTATAACCATGGTGGCTCATAGCCGATGAGCGAGTTTAATAACCTACTAAATCCAAAAAAAAGTAAATACACAGAGAAATATGTTGCAGTTGTGGAATTGCTTCAATTTTTCGGCATTTGCCGTGTCGATCGGTCGTTTGGCGAAAAACACAACGCTGTGTTGGTGGTGGTGGCGGAGAATATCGTTAGAAAATATCGCGTTCACTCCGATGGGATAAGAAAAATTTCGTATTCTGAGAACATATCGCATTCACAGCGTAATCAGTCAACACCAACCATTACATTTGCAACATGCAGAGTACGAACGAGTGAAAAAAATGGCAACGAATCAGATGCAAATGTGAAGAGTCAACATTTTTTGAAGGTGGTGTGCTTGTGTCGCGGAATCGTCATTTGAATACCATCGAATTCTTGTTGCTGCTGGTGCTGGTGCTGTGCCGTGAGCGCAATTTGAAGACAAAATACGAAAAAAATGAGAGAAAGAGAGCAAACGACCGAGTGCTCGAAATGTGAAGAAGCATTTGATATCGGATGGCATATCGTCGTCGGAAAGGTCGTTAACAAAAAGAAAACCGTATGCAGTAATATAGCAAATGCTATTCATTGGAATATACATCATTTAATAACACATTAGAGCCTCTTTCACTAGTGCTAATGCCGGAGCCCATGCACATTACACACACACACATACGCTCACCGAGTTAAGAGGGAAAGACAGACTTTGCGTTTGCCAAACATAGTCATACAGACAGAAAGCCATCGATACATCAGCACAGCTCGACAATTCACTCGGCATGCATACGAAATCATTTAGCTGGGCCCTGTTATTTTCACACTGAGCACACACACACACATTGACAAAGCGACCAAATCTAGGCGAAAAATGCACGTATGCACACATTAGAAACCATCATTGCAGACGTTTGGTTTTGGCTCCGAAGGCAATGAGTATAACACAGAAAATCCATAACATATCATTGAATGTGAAAAGCAGAACGCTGAGCCCGCACCCGAGATGCTTTTGCATTCACATCTCGAGCTATTCGAAAATCGTTTGCGTGTGTGTGTGTGTGTGTGACTCTCTACCTCTCGCCCATTCGGTGTGTTTGCGAGCATGTACATATGTGTCTGTGTGAGTGAGTGAGTATGGATGCACATTAGCAATGTTGCTGTTCACTGCTCGTTATTGTTACTCACTGCTCAAAATTCTAGCTGTGCCTTGCCTCAAAACACATCAAATCACATTTTCGAACACTCAGCGAAGGGAATACAATTTTTTTTGCTCGCACTCCCTCTCGGTTACATTCGATTCGGTATCTTCTGGTTTTGGTACTGCTGATGCTCTTGTTGCTGTTATTCTTTTTCGTAATGTCTGTTTTGGTTCTGTTCGTTTCTCGCCGTCTCCAATTTATTCATACACTATGTGTATGTGTGTTGACGGCAGGTGTGAATTCCAAAAGAAAATAACACATACACATGAGCAAACGGAATGAGGCGAACGTGTGAGCAGACAAAGACGCACAATGCAACCACGAGAGATGCATTGAGAGTTTGGCCTCTTTACGTGCACTCAAATATTCGATACATCAGCAATGGCATCAACATCATCTTACTGACATTCGTATCGTCATTTGTTCAGAGTGCTCACCGCATGCCTGTGCTCATCGAAAGCCAACACATACATATACACACACATACCGAACCGATCGACGGCATCAATAGAACAACAACAGCAACAGCAGCAGCAACGCATCACGAATATAGGTGCAAAGAAGAGAATAAAGAGCACACAATTCTGAATGCAATGAAGAGCCACAGAGATGAACACACACACCGAAGCAAAGCAAAGCAATGTGAAGAGGGAAGAGAGAAAAAAAGAAAAAAAAAATAAATAAATTGTGTACGCCGTACACAAAATATACGATTTATGCATACAAAACGCTCGGCTTGTGAGTGCATGTGTGAAATAAGTACACATACTCATACTCTTCGCCTCTTCCTCTCCCTCTCTCTCTCCCATTCGGAAAATGAATGTTGTCGCTGTGTGCTGCAGCTGGCTCACTCACTCTAGCTGGCATTCCGTAAGATTTGTTCTTTGTCAGCATGTGAATAGTGTTTATGTGTGTGAACGCGCTTGGGCGAGTAAACGTCGATTGAATCTCATCTGAATCAAGCAATTCATGTGGAAAAACGCAAGGACAGCATATATTTTAATGCCACTCCTCGACTCTCTTCCAGCAGCGATTCCAAATGACGGTATTTCGTGCTGCTAAGAATATGCCAGTGTGCCCGAACACTGCCAAACAGTATGATCAGTACATTCAATTCAATGTTTATTTATAAATAATTTATGTATGAAAAAGAATGAGAGATACAATTTTGCCATTTGTGAATGCCCCATCTCTGTCTCTTGCTCAGTGGATATGTTATCGCCAACTGGATTTTCTCTGCACTTCTGTTTCTTCGTTTCGTTTACTTGCTGGTTGTTGTTGTTGGTGTTGTTGTTTTTTTTTCTCTCTCGTTGCTTCGTAACGCATTAAAACATCGAGAGATTTGTGTGTTTGGTGGTTCAACTGCTGCAATTTTCACATCGACCGTACGGTTGTTATTCGGTGATGTGTTTTTTTTCTGCGCTCTTTTTATATCTCATTGCACATCGCAACAAAATCCCTTCATCAAAGCACATTCAATTTTAAAGACTCAATGCGCTAAATTTTGCGCCCATTCCACTTTTTCATTCCTTCCAATATCTATCTTTATCTTTTGCTCCTTTCTCTCTCTCTCTCTCTCTCACTCGTTTCTCTGTCGCTCTTTCTCTTTCACAAAAATGTATAATTGACAGTCAAAATGATAAATTTCCACCGAAATAAGTACCATGCCAATGCACAAGATACCGAAACGAAAATACGTATGAAAATAAAATTGTCCAACGTATTATTTATTGAAATTTTATGGCGAACATGGCAATGAATCAAATTCATGACGGTCCAAAGCGACACATAAACGGGATCACAGACTGTTTGTGTGATATCAGTGAGTGATGTTGCTGTAATTTTGCTTGTCACTACAGTGATAATACCCAAACACATCAAATAACACAAACCGAGAGAGAGAAAGAGAGAGAGAGAATGACTGAAATTGCAAATTCATTTATTTAATACCTGCGCAAATCCAATCAATTCGTTCGATTGACAAACAAATTTTCAAATGTCATTGCAAAATGTATGCGACATTTTTGCAATTTCAAACACACATCGAGAGGCATTGGGTTAGCGAGAGCAAAGAGATACACAGAGAAAGTAATGTGCTTAATGAATATCCAAACAGTTTGTTCATTTCGAATAAATTGCGAATTGAAAATGAATCGAAATGTTTTATACAAGTCAATGAGTGGACCTGTTTAGATTTACATCGTCTGACGCAGAGTTTATTTAACCTTCTCATTCAGTTGAATTACGCACTCAAAGTGAGTGCTGCTGATTTTGTCAAAGCTAGCCAGCAAGCACGCGCGCGCCCGCGCTCAAACACACACAACAGCCCCACATTGTGACAGTGTTTATGTGTGAGTGTGTGCCTTTTGAAGCCCGTAATTATCCCGGGTACAGTATTCATTAACTCTGTTGCGTATTTGTTGTTCAATGGCTTTTACGTACAAAATCAACATTTAATTACACTTTTAGTCTATTAAAATATATCAAAAGAGAGTCGTTTTTGGGACATAGACAACAAGGTATATATAATCATGGAGACCAGCACCTCTAAGCAGCTCTCAATGCAATGTCAACCTATTCATTTATTCACCGCTGGAAGTCGAGCCTCAATAAAATTTTGACAAAAGCGTTCGTTTTTCTTTGGAAAATACTGTTCAAAGGTGTTGTTGTTATTCACACAAGTTTCTTTTTGTTTCTTCCGGAGAGAAAGAAGAAGCGAAGAAAAAACAACAAAAAAGACAAAAAGCCAATTCATTGAAAAAGACAACAAGAAAAACTAAATAAATTGGCCAAAAGAAAGGGAAAATTAGTTCGACAAATATCAATTGTTTACAATTTTGTACGACGACAAAAAAGACGAAATGTTGAACTGCGATTGAACACATGAAAATAGCACTTACCTGATACAAAAATTAGCCAGAAACATGTTGTGTAATCCATTTTTCTATCGATTCGTATATCCATAACGACGATGTTGTATTGGTTGTGTATGTTGTCTCAGTGGATTTGGTGAAATTATTTGCTGTTGTTGTTGTAGTCGGTTTATTTTAATTTAAAAATGTCTGACGATACATGCGGTTATACGATAGTTTGTCGTTTATTTCTTGTTATAAATTGAACGAATGTTAAACAATTGATTTTCACTTTGTTATTGCTATGTCGATATCTATATATAAAAATCGATTCCTTAATCCAGCTTATTTGTAGCGCCTACGCTTTTTTGTTGATTTCTTCGTATAAATAGACACATTAAGCGTGTGTGTTTGTGTGTATGTATTACTTCAATTCGGTATTCACAACTAAAATCGTGCACATTAAGTCAATCACAGTTGTTGGCAGTTTTCAGTGAGTATTTCACAATGAATGTGTGTGTATGTGTGTATGCGATTATAGTCGATTAACTTCCGTTTGTGTTTATTGCAAATCAATTTACTTTGTATAACGACTGTTTTTTGGTAATTTATTGTTTTGTGTATGCCCACTTGTTGGCGGATTTGGTTCACGCTGACGAAATCTGTTCGTCGTATTATTATTATTCACCGGGGTGATGGCGAACAGATTTATGTTGTTGTTTTTTTTCTCTTTACTTTACACAATCACAAAATATAGATTATTTTATAAAACAAGAAACAAACAGAAAAACTGAAATGGAAAAAAAAAACAAAAAGTTGGGAAAAAAAATACACAAAACTCTCTGATTCACTGCAATTGCGTCAAATGCATACGCGAACAATACAACTAATTCATAAAGCGTTGTTGGTTTCCCGTCATAAAAATCGGAACTTCGACTCTTGTTTGAATTTTTTTTATTTGAACGAGGCAGAGAAGCGGCTGTGTTTGTTTTTTTCACTCATGCATACACACACTCAACTCAATATACACGCTAATATTTTCAATGCATTTATTTCACGCAGAGCCAAGGAAATACAAACAATTACTTTCAAACTGCACACACAAAAGACTTGATTATCAGTTGATGTTGTGAGCAAGCACACGAGATATGTTGACGAATTTCTTTAATTTGCACATTCACAAGAGATGAATCTCTGTTGTTGTTGTTGTTACTGCTGTCGCTGCTGTGTTTGTCAGCTATTTTAAATATTTGTTTGAGTGAGTGTGCCACTTTGTGTGTTTATTGAAATGAGAGAAACGGTCGACGACTGAACTGAGTGAGATGACAACGACAGTTATTTGCGCATCACAATTCAATTCGTCACCTTTTGTAGTTTTCGACAAAAAAAATTGATTTCTTCGTGAATCACAACTCTGTTTCTTTCCACAGCACACACACACAGACACGAAACAAGAATATTGCTGTTGTGTAATGCTATGTTGCACGCTTGTTCACGCTTTGTATCAAACGATTGATTTCCTCATGGAAATGATGATGATTGTTTGGAAAAATTGTGGATGATCGCTCGAGAGCGGTCCCGTTCAAATTGCGGCTTTGTTTCGTTTATTTCTGCGCGCGAGAGCTTCACACAAAAATTCTTTCCACTTGGTTAAATAGTTATGTTATATGTTATAAAAAAAATGCGGGCTATACGTTTCTCTCATTCATTCGCGTGTGCACGTCAAAATATAGCCAATAAACAGAAAATGAACAAGAAATATACCGCCACTCTATTGTTTACACAATAATTTTCATTCTTCGATGAGCGGCAAATGAAAAATACGGTTTTACGATTTGGATTTTTCAATTGGCGGCACGATAAACGGTTCAATCTCAATCGATCACTTTGATTTTGTTCAGTGCAACTAATGGCGTAGTTTTGACATACAAATTCACACTTTGCTCGTTTTTCTTCTTCAATTTATGTTTGCTTTGAATTTCTGCTTATACACACATTTTTTTTCTCTTCTTTTTTTTAGCGGTTCATTTTTCCATTGATTCAGCGTTTAAACTTGATTATTCTACCATTGAATTATGGCTTCACACGTTTTGCAATCGTCTTTTTTTATTTCCTCACTGTTTTTTTTTTTTTGCACTTACGTTTAGTTTTTCACATTAAAAATGTGATCGTTTCGATGTGATGTCGTTTTCGAATCCCATTCGTTTGGTTTGAACCAATCGAATTCCGATCGAAGAAACTCAAACAAAAACCACAGTCTCGTCTCCGAAATGTAAACGATGATGGTCGGCTATTGTTGTTGGCTGGATGTGTTTCTTTATTTGTTTTTACTCAGTAGCTTTAAAATACGCTTTGTGAAAGGTATTCAGTCAAGAATAGGTAAAATAGAGGTTTATTTCGTTTAACCGAACCGCATGGCTGCGTGGTGTACCACTCAATTCGAAGTCAGCAGACGTACTAAAGAAGAACGGAACAAAACAAACGGCCGCAACTCCAACTTCGGCTTTGTTGGTTTTGCCATCCATACACACCGAACCGCTTCGCATTCGTTTGCTCTGTCTCTCTCTCTCTTTGCCGCTGTCGGTGTCGGTTCGCGTTGTCGGCACACTCAGCATGCGTTCTCGATAGCACGGCAGCGGCGTGCAGATGTTTGCCTCTCCAATGCAGTCGCAATGATGTTTGTGTGTCGGTATTTTGGTTGCGAGCTCAGTTCCACATGTCAAACGCTAGCGTACCAAACAAATGCAAATGAGACAGAGAAACGCGCGCCAACTTGATATTGCTGAGCGAATCGGTACACATGGAATACGAACGTTCAACAAAATCTCAGCCGTTAACCGAGAGAGAATAAGAGTGTTTACGAGAGAGAAAAAATTGGCGCGGACGAGAAACTTGGCAACAGTGAAACCGATCCGCATGTTGTTTGTCCGCATGTTACGCACGGCGCACCGTTGAAGATTTTAAAACGAGCACATAAAAACACATTCGAATTCAATGCATTTGCAACGGTCTCAAGAAAGTGAATAAGATTTAACGTCTCTCACCGCCGCTGCTGCTGCTGCTGCTGCTGTTACTGTTGCACCATTTTTCAATTCTGCCTTCTCTCTCAGTTGTTTAATGTGATATAAAACGGCTAAGACGCTAATGCCATGATACTTTTTCGAAAGAATTGCCGTGCTTGCATTCGAATGATTGAATGCATTCCATCCGTTGCGTTCTGAATATATCTATCTCATCGTCGCGGTCGTTGTTGTTGTCGTTTCGGTTCTCTTTACTCTTTCGGTTTTGATGAAGCGATTTTCGTTGCCTTGTGGTTTCGTTTGCTTCGCATATTTCTGTCGTTTGTTCCACACACACACACACACACACACACACAGCACACCGAGCGTACGTAATTATGGTGTTGAACAGCCAATATGTGGTAGTTAAAAGTCTTTCAGTCTGATTTCAACATTTATGCTCTCTCACTCTCGATGTGTGTCTTGGTACGTTTCGAATGCTGTCATTTGGGTGTGAGTTGCCTTTATATTTTTGAGTTAGTGGTTTTTTTCTTTCTCCTTCGTCTCATTCGAAAAACTTAAATCACCTCAATAATATCAGCGAACGCGTTGCATATTACGCGCTAGGTCTTTCACATTTTGAACATCTGCAATCGCAACGATGTTTTCGACAGGCAAATGCAAAACATAAACGAACAAAAAAATGCAAAATGCTCTACACACATGAAAAAAAAAACACATATCGAATGCAAAGCGAAAAAAAACTTCATCAAAATGAAGGGAAAAAAATATGCACATATAATGACATGAAACCATATTAAGAATTACCTGTTTGCAATTTGCCGATATATATCAGACGGTGGCTGAAAAAGAGCGAGAGAAGGAGAAAAGAAGCAGCACTCACTCACAGAGCGCAGCTTGCAAATTGATGAGAGACGGGAGTTCAGATATTGTTTTCATATGTAAATTGTATGGCGCAATGCTTGCTTCGGTTGCAAGCTTTCATAAAGGTTTTCGGCCAGCCAGCCAGCCAGCCACACACTCACCTCATTTAGTGTGCACAATTGCGTTCATTCTCGACGCAACTCTCTTTTTACCGTCTCTAACACTCGCTCCAACTCGTACACTCGTGCTTTGTGTGCCGTACACTTTTATCAATTTAAATAAATTTGCATGCATTTTCTTCGATAGTTGTGTGCTGTTTGCCGTTTTTTGCTCGGCTCCTTCATTATGCGTCTCTGCATTATGTGTGTGTGTGTGGTGCTCGTTCGTTTTTTCATTCTGCGCCCGTAATTTCGGCACTCTGCCACGATTTTAATAATCAGATTATTTAGCAGTTTTGATGATGAATCGTATCGGTAACACTTTTTTTTACTCCAATATTGTTTCGTTTTCTCCTCCTTTGTTCTGCATTCGTTCGGTTGGTCGTTTGGTTGATGGCTTCGTGTCAGTTCTGCCAATGAATCGTGCACACTCCCTCCGGTTTTGGTTGGGCCGGTTGATTTTTCATTTGATAGCAATTTTTAATTTAAAAAAAAATAGCTGCCGCTCTTTTCCGTCATATTCCACTCATTTCATCGCTTGGTTTCGTTTCGTTTGTTGCTTCGTTTTGCATTGTGTGACGGTTGCTGGTTGTTTAAGTAATAAATTTTTATGGAGTATCAAACACGTGCACGTGCGTCAGTGCGATCATCAAAATCATTTCTGCAATTTTTTGCACCGGAACAATGAATAAAAAAAAATTGAAACGAAGCGGGTGGAGGAGGAGGAAGCGCACTGAATGAGGGTAACAATGCAACGACAGGAATCACGCTGTTTATTATTACTGCTGCATTCGCACATAGATATTATTGAGAGAGTCGCAGAGACAGTTATATGTGATTTGCTCGTTGGATACGGTTAAGTGCATTTGCTTTGGTTGGGCCGAAGTAATCGAGAAAATTTGCTACAGGTTTAAATGTTTCAATTTTCGTCGGCGAACCTCCTTCTTTTTTTTGCGATATCCATCTTTGCATCTATATCTTCCCTTGAATACTCCATCCCTTTCTCTCTGCACTTTTTCGCCTCGCTCCATGAATATTATTTATGACATCATTGTCCTTCCGCTACATCGAAAATGGCCATGTGACCAGATGCTTCTTCATCTTTCGTGCCTCTTCCTTTCCAACCATTAAACACACACAATCATCTCGATGCTCGCATATTTCATTGGCATTATGCAAGGATTGCACGATGCACGCACACACATGGAATATGGTGCGCCCCGTAGTCCGTTGCCGTAGATACAAGAGGATAACAAGTAAAACCCATTACGATGTTTGTCTTTGGTTTGGAATAACATATTTCCGCCAATGTGCATAATAATAATCTAATACACAGTAAAATGATTGCTGCCGATTTTCTCTCTCTCTCTCTCTCTCTCTCTCTCTCTCTCTCTCTCTCTGGATATGGCTCACAGCATGCAATTTTGGTATCACCAACGCAGCCAAATCAAAGAATCATACGATTTCCTTATTCATGTACAAATGTTCTGTGTTCCTCTCTGTGTCTACCTCTCTACCGTTTGTTCACTTGCATATGTTTCACTCGACTCGATTTCAATGCAGTCAAGCAGCAAATATTTCATGAATTTTTAATTTGCACGTTTTGAAGCAGCCGAACCGAAGTGCGAGCGGACAGCCAGCTAGTCAGAGACGGAGCGCGCGCGAACAGAATGAATATGTTTAATTTAGAGTAATATTACGCCTGGGAATATTGAATAAATACAAATTCAATTCACATTCCAACTTTATCGAATCATTATAGTCTGTGCGAATGTGCGAAGTGTGATAAAGTTTCGGCGAAAATTTAATGCATTTGCAAATGATGTTTGGCGTGTGTGTACATGTGTGAAACGGTATTATCATGCTTGAAGCGGGAGGGCGGGCTACGTGAAAATATAAGCGAGAGAAAGCATGTACATTTAGATGATAGATTATTTTTGCCATTGGAATCAATGTTGAAAATGGTCACAATTGACAAATCACCAGCGAGTTTTTTGCAGCGAAATCCAACTGATTTCTGCTTCGTGTGGCTCTTGTCCTATGTGTACCACCATCGACGCCAATGCCACCGTTCGACCAATTCTCCCGTATCCGGGGGATTTTCGATGTGTATTCACATTTATTGACCCAAATATTTTTCCCATTCAGCTTTTCCGTTCCCTTTGTATATTTATTTGTGAATTTTCCGTTGATTCAAATTTTTTTTTACGATTGCATCGTTTCGAGTCACTCTTTTTTTTCTTTCACTGTGCTCATGTGTTTGTACCAATGTTTCTGTATATTCGACGTCCTGTTATACGATCGGAACCAGAGAGCGAGAGAGAGAGAGAGACGAGCGACGATGGGACGACCATTTATTTCTATTTCGTGTGCGCTACAAGAGCATCAAGAGTGTTACATTAAAAGAAATAATAAAAATTTCAAAAATATTGGCAACGTTATTGTGGTGGCAACAGCGCTTCAGTAGAATTTCAAAAAGTAATAAAACCACCGATATACACAAACACAAACACAAACACACACATGTACACAGAGAAACAGAGCAACCAAAGTGCCACCAAACAGTATTCCATCGCCGATGCAGCCGGAAAAATTGAGAACACACCATTGTAAAAAAAAAAACAAGTTGTAGCGGACAAAATAAAAAGAATGATATTAAAAATAATTGCAATGATTTTTTTTTCTCCTGTCGCTGCTGGTTTTTTCGGTGTTGCTTAGTTTTTTTTTCATCGTGCATGCCATACCATCCATCGAGTTCAACGAGATTCGTTTGATTCTATTATACCAAACAAGCGATTCGATATGGTCGCGAGCTGTGCTGTTGTTTGTATTGAAGTGAAAATGTCGCGCTGCCCGTTAACTGGATATTGTTTGGCTCGAAGCAGCGCGCGACCAGGAGATAGAGAATTGACGAGCGACAAAGATAGAAAATCGGGAAAGAATAAAGCGTGAGTGCAATGAAATAGAGCAAGTGACAGAAAAAAAAACTGGAGGACGAGGCATAGAGCGAACGAGAGTGCTATTAGAATGAAGTGCATATTAAAATGAAAATCGATATGTTTTTATTTCATGGAAAAAAAATTCAGTTTAGAATTTCGTCATTTTTCCGCTATTTTTCACATCAAGCGTGAACCAATCGTGTACACTTTATTCACTCGATGAAGCGCGTGTGAGCGCAATTTCTATAGCCGAACAATAGTATCCTCATATCAACGGGAATTCGAACTGTGTGCCGCGCTTGTCGTCGCCGTCATCGCTGTTGCCATCATTGAAAAATGTAAACAATCATAAAACATTTCCACGATAAAATCGAGACCATCAATGCAGTTTTATTTATTTTCATTGTTTGCCCAGTCTCTAATTTTAGATTGGATATCATGTGTTGCTATAGCGAATATACATATACCATTTTGAAATGGTTGATCGTTAGAC